TTTAGTATTAAAACATTCCGTTTCTCGTCAAATGATATTTTATCATATTGAATTATTTCGAATTATATATTATGTGGAATTTAGTATTGAAGTATTTCGTTTTTTTAACAAATCATATTTATTCTAGTATTTATCATTGAAAGATTTGATGTCGTATTTAATATTGAAACATTTCGTTTTTTTAACAAATCGTAAGTATTCTACATTAGAAATTGTTCTTTGATTTTTGTTGGTGCCAAAATTTCAGCTTTAAAATGGAAGGTTTTTGTGTATTTTTTTTCTTCTTAATAGTAGGCTCTCCCAAATGTATTTTTTCAATGAAATTGTATAGTATGTATTTTATAATGTTATCCAGCACTAAACAATTGAATTATATCTCGAAAACTCGACACCAATTTTTCATCTGAACTCATAAATAACATTAAGACATCTGTCGTCCAATAAGGTACTGGTTCACCCACCGTATCAAACTTGTTAATTTTATGAGTATACTCTTCCACAAATTTAAAAATATTTTTGGCATTGGAAAAGAGTCCTTTTTGATAGACAGCATTTTTGGAAGCGCAAAGTTTTTTGTTTAAGTAACCCAACGTACACACAAAACCATTGTAATTGGCACTGTTCGGAAAGAGCACGTAAGGAAACGCTTGTATAAAAGCATACTTGTGAACTTGTTCGGTAGGCGCCGGGACGGAACGATCAAATTCATGCAATAATAAGTCGTAGAGTTCCGCATACTTTTCTAAAAAATCAGACGACAAGTGATCTTTCGCTTCACCTCTCCCGATATAGTTGACAATATAGTGCAATTTGAGCGTGTGTTTACACGTAATGTGCTTTTTGATCAAATTAATCAAACTCGTTTGATAGGGAGTCGTTTCGTTAAAATACCCTTTACAAATGCGCACAATTAAATCAAATACAAAATTGGCCACTATTTCTGTATTGTTACTACACACATAGCAATAAATCATAATGTAAATTACATCAAACGGAATGCAATATTTTGAAAATTCTTCTCGAATAAGAGTCGCATCCTGCGAGAGAAGCATAAACAGTTCGCCTGGAGTATGCACATCATACACTTTAGTTATCGGTTGAAACGGCTTAAAAGAACAAGACTTAACATAGGGACATAATACGTTGAGGAAATAATCAAAAACATTGGTTTCTTCAAACACACATTTCATTTGTTCGAGCAGAGACACAACCACTGTTTGAATAGATTCGTCTTCGTAATGGAGCTCACTCACCATAGTCATGTAATTTTGAAGAAAATTTTCCAAAATGCGTTTTTGCAGCACAGAGCTTTTTTTAAAAGAATGATTCTGGGCTACAATAAATTCTTCGTTGGTCACTGCCAACAATTCTATCACGCTCATAAGATTGGAATAAGTGATCATGATATTGTCATCGGGCATAATACCCGGAATCCCTGAAATTTGAACTTTACAGGGAACGTTTAAATCTCCCGTCCAACGCGCGTACAAATGAGCGACCTGACACGACTCTAAAAAACGGTTTTGTTTAACAAATTGATCGACATTTAACACGACTTGTTGGCAGGTATTGCAAAGTATGTGTCTGTCTTCTACCCTGACATTAATACCGTGACAGAGTAAATTTTTTTGTTCGAGATAGGTCAACATTTTCTACTTTCTTTAAAGATAAGAAACCCAAAAAGAAAAAACGACTAACTAAATATTGTACTAAAAGTCAACATTTCACATATAAAACATACAGATTTGCATTATGTTTAAATATATTTTCTTATTTCAGATAATGATAGTATTATTATTTTCCAAAATACATTAAAAAACTACCTTAATACTTCAACTTCGTATGAATTAGAACTTGAAACTGTATAAATAAAAATTTGTATGAATAAGAATAGTAAATAACATTAAAAAAATTAAATCAAGATTAGTCATCGTTCGAGAGAGTCGTTTAAAAAATGGAATTTACTCAATTGTTTTACAACCTTAAACCTTAACCTTAATTTTTTTGAAAAACCTCCTCGTTTCAAATATTATATGAATTGAGTAGCAGTGGGTCAAGGAGATGACGTGAGAAAAATAAATCAAAATCTGAGGTTTGTCTTGCACAGCATTTAACGCTAGAATGATGGAAAAGGTCGCTTGTTTCTCTAAAGCATATAATTAGTTTTTGATTTATGTGTCCTTTCATGCGGTATTTACAATTAGTGTGTGTCCTTTCATGCATTACTTATAATTTGTCTTGTTCTAGAATGATGCAAAAGGTCGCTTGTTTCTCTAAAACATATAATTAGTTTTTGATTTATGTGTCCTTTCATGCGGTATTTATAATTTAGTGTGTGTCCTTTCATGCATTACTTATAATTTGTCTTGTTCTAGAATGTAAAAAGTAAAAAATCAATTTTACGGTAAATGTTTTAAAATCATTTCTGACCTTAAAAAGGTTTAAATTACAATGAGAAAAAAATATTATCATGATGCTTCTTTAGAGTTTTATAATTATTAATTTTCTATTACAATATCTATATATCTAATTGAAACAAACAAAAAACAGAATCTGAGATTAAAATAACAAATAGTAGATTTAGTGATCAAAATTCACGATAGTCATATTAAAAGTATAAATTTATTAATTATCAATTACAATATCTATATACTTAGAGTTATGGTTTGATTTGGTTTCTTTGCCATGAGTTTTTTCAGATTTTTTTTAAAAACTTTTAATGCTAATTTCTTCCTTTACATTTTATAAGACGTAAAATGATTGTTAACCTTTTCACGTGGGCGCAAAAGTAAGAAATCGAGTTCCTCTGGTGAGCTCTCTGTGAGACTGGGATGAATTCAAGAAAGGGGACCGCTAATACGTAGAACAAGACAAGTGATGATATCTATATACCTAGATTTATAGCTTGATTTGGTTTCCTTGCCATAAATTTTTTTTAGATTTTTGCTTAAAAACATTTAAGTTTAATTTAACCCTTACATTTTATAAGACATGAAATGTAGATTGTTAAACAAAAAGTATAATTAAATGTAAAATGCTAAATATGAAAAAAATTTCACTAAGATGGTGGGATTTAAAATTTTTAAAAAAAATCTATCAATCAAAAGTCAATATCCAGAAAACTTCTTTGCATCCCAGCAGACAAATTCTATTTTCTCAAACCTACAAATTGTTATTAATATATATATATATATATATATATATATTAATAACAATTCGTAGGTTTGGAATTTTTCAAACTTTTAATTCGTTGAAAAAATAATAATTTATTTCATTTTTAAAAAAATAATGATCCAGTGCCGAGTTATCTTATATTTCTATACTGTTTCATACTTGTTAAAGCAAATATACTGAAACTAAAAAAAAAAAAAAAAGAACATTTATAAGATAGATTTTACTACACATCAGTAAAGATATATACGAGTGAAAATTGTTGATTATAGTAATGTTTGAGTATCAGAAATCGACTTAGAATAAACATCAACAAGCTAAATTATATTAAATATAAGTACTTTTATTTTAAAGAGATGAACTTTGAAACATTTTTGTTTTAATCTGACAACAAAATCAAAATTAAAATGAAAAAGATTAAGTTTAAATATTGTTTTTTATTTTATATAAAACAGAGACATGCATTACGTTTAAATATTTCATATCAAAATTAATTTTTTCATTGAAACATTCGTTCCACGTCTTAAACGCAGTACCATTTGAAGTGTTGATTCTTTTATAATTTTATAATCGGATAAAGTCTGTAAATCTTCCAACTGTTTTTCACCAAAGATTAATCTCTGTTGATCAATTTTTTTCTTTGACACTTTGAATAGTATCCGAAGATTCTATCTCAATAGTGATCGTTTTTCCAGTGAAAGTTTTTATAAACAGTTGCATTTTTAATATAAACAAATGAAAACTTTCAAAGTTAAATTAATTTCAAACGTGAGATTTTTATGACATTTAATATTAAGCTGAGAGTATGAAATGTAAGTGACGATGTACTTATGTTATTGAAAAAAACGCGAAAGAGTTAAACTATATAAGAGTAAAAAAAACTTATTAATATATTTTTTTATTATTATTTTTCATTGATATAATTTTTTATTATTATTTTTCATCGATATAATTTATTTTATTATTTTTTATTGATATAAGTTTTTTATTATTATTTTTTATTGATATAAGTTTTTTATTATTATTTTTTATTGATATAATTTTTTATTATTATTTTTTTATTTATGTTATTTTTTTACTTATTTATTTTTTTATTTATGATTAAAAACTTTGGAAATTTATTTTGAGATCTAGGAGGGTATTCACTATAACACTAAAAAATTCATTGTTCATGCGCCGTGTATGTATATAAAATCGTTTGGCTTGTTGGTGGATAATTGAATAATTTTAAACTATGAAACTTTTGAATCAAGAATCATAAATTGAAAAAATTCTGAATTCTAAACAAGATTTTTTATTGTTTAGGAATAGCCAACCAACGCACTCTTTTGTTTAAAATTTAATATCTATTAGCAGGTGTTTATATCAATTGACAGAGGATAAATAAACGGTATATTACAATAAACACTTCTACTCAACAATAAATCTATTGTATCTTTATGCAACTCGATTGTATCGGTGCCCGCATTTAAAACCACAATTTCTTCACCCAACACATAAAATATCCCCACTCTGACCGGTGAATGCAGAAACACTTCGAGACTTTCACTGACACTTCCACTGGTTTTCCATTTATACCACACAATACAACTAAAAGGTCGAAACAGCCATTTGTCGGGTTCGACAAATACGGGAACTGATAATGTGACGTGTACATTATTCTCCCAGTGAATTGGTTTTCTCTCATCCAAAGTCACCACCACTTTATCCGATTTCAAAACTGTTGAATGAATAGTTTCGTTGGTATACAATTTATACATGTCATAAATATATGCCAGAGGTACATTGGAACAAATAAGCAAGGTGTATCTTTTTTCTAATATGGAACTATGAATAGTCAGATGCACAACACAAATGTCATTTTGAACACACCTACAGAGAGTGGTACCAGTCGCGTGTTTAAACACATTGATTTGCTGGATCCGTCTGGGTTCGATAAACATTGCAAAAGTTTAACTCCAAGCCAATTGGAGTTTGTACACTTGATTCAAGAATGGTTTCAAGCACCCCACCCTCTCGTGTGCCTTGTGACAGGAGGGCCGGGAACCGGCAAAACCTTTACTGTCATCCAAACTTTATATTTTGTAAACGCCAACATTTTAAAGGTAGCTCCCACCAACAAAGTAGCGAGAGCAATTCGAGGCATGACCATTCACACTGCTTTTCAATTGAAATGGGTCGAAGGAACACGTTTGCACTCCATTTCAGAAACCATCAATGGTCTCGATAACAAAGATTTCGAACATGACGCGTATATCTCTACCTGTTTAAAAGCGAGTGCCGACATTTCTGAAAAAGAATTGAATTGTCCCTATTCTGATCTGCACATGGTGGTCATTGACGAAATTGGTATGGTTCCTTTTTGGTTGACCTATCAATTGATAGTTTATTTATTTAAAACATTTCGCCCTCTATTGATTGTGCTCATGGGTGATGAGCATCAATTGAGACCTGTACGATGTTCTTACAATGTGTTTGATGTGAACCTTCCCGATATTCCCATGAAGCGAATTACATTAACCGAAAATAATCGGTTCACGCCAGAATATCAAGTAACCATTGAGCAACTGAAAATATTAATAAACCATTTCGAACAGATGACGCACTACGTTCGTTGCCATTACCCTGTGTACAACTATATGACGGAAACTTTGTTTCGAAAATGCAACGCTATTTTAGCATATCAAAACAATTCGGTGGCGAGATATAATGAACAGTATTTAGATTTACTTCCAGGTCCCAGTATTTTGTTGTTGAAATTGTCGACTCCTCAAACGTTTGAAGAAGCCATTCGTGTGAAAATGGGGTGTCGAGTCATGTCAACGAGTAATAAAAACGTGCCTAAAGGGACGGTCATGACGTTTATCAGTTATGATAATAAAAATGATACTATTACGTGTCAATTATCCGATGAAAAATTCGTAACCCTTTTGCGATCCAGCTACACATCCAATTTTCCTATTGAAATGGCATTTGCAACGACAATTCATAAATTTCAAGGAGATACAATTGACCACTCAATTGTAATTGACTTCGATTATGCAACAAATGCTCATTTAGTGTATACTGCATTGAGTCGTGTCAAGAGTTTACACCAAATTTTAGGTATTGTACATATGGTTTAATAATATCTGCTATGTAATAAAATACATATCAAAATGAGCTGCTTATAAAGAAAGTGTCTTTTACCTATTCCTAGATTATATATTCGAGTGTTGTGATTTGCAAAGTACTTTAATGAAGATTATAAGAAATATGACTTAGTAGAACGAAACATTTATGGAAAGAATGTATTGTTAAAAATATGAATAAAGAATATGGAAATATATACTAGATTGATTGAATATGTTCGATGTCAACAAGTGTTTAGTTTTTATGTTTTTGTTACTTTAAGGGAAATGCATAAAATGATTTTTATAGAAAATAATTGTATGGTGAGTGATTTTTTAATTACTCAAAATGCAACATCCAGTTTGAAGCAATGGCTTAACGATACATATTATCGACTGAAACATCCGCTCAATAAGCACATTCATGACCATTGGAAGTGGTTTCTCAAATTCAAACCTCTTTATCAACACCAAGTACAGGCAAAATCCTTAGAAAATATTTTAATTGATATTGAAAAGGAAAATAGAAAACTAGTTCCTTATATGTTTTATGTAGGAGTTCGTTTAGGAGTTATCAATACAGTAGAACAAGAATTGTATGATTTAAAACCAATTGAGGAGGGAGTAAATGAAAGTAATGCGTAACTTTAGATAAATTAAATGTAGAGGAAATAAAAAAATGAAAGTAATGCGTAACTTTAGACAAATTAAATGTTGTACTTTAACAACAGGTCTTGGACAAATTAAATATTGTACTTTAACAACAGGTTTTGGACAAATAAAATATTGTAATTTTTGTAGTGTATCAACAGATAAAAGCATTCTGTTCTACCACCATGACATGAACAAATAAAGATGAATACCAATACAATGTTGTTAAAAATTTTTAACATCCAAACCAAATTGTATTTTATAGAAGAACTTTGCTGTTATACTCATTTTAATTTTTCAAATCTTTTTTTGTATTATAATAAAATAACTAAAACGTTTGAAATTCAAAATAAAAAGGATAAATAAAACAAAATTATTTTTTGACTTGAAATTCAAAATAAATAGGATAAATAAAACAACGTTATTTTTTTTGCATGTTAATATTATTGATAATAAAGATGATTAGTTTAAGAAATTTTTTGCTCAAAATTAAAAATGTTCAAACTAAACAATATTTACTTTCTAATTTGGAATCGGTAGAAAAAAAAGGATTGTATTATTATTGTTATCAATGGAGAGAAAAAAATATTTATTAGTAATAGGCTTTTTCCATTAACTGTTTTGAAGCAATTATGTAAAAAAAATTTAATATTCAGAGTATAAATTTATTAAACTTTAAAAGATGAACATTAAATGTCAGTTATCCATATCAACAAATTTCAAATTGACTGTTTAGTATCACACTCTGTTTCATTTTCGTTCTGTATACTTAAGTAAGCAACATCACGTATAAAGTTGCTACGGTCGAGGTGAAATATAATGAGTTAGAAAGAAGGTGAACGGCTGGTCATGAGTCATCAAAGATTCGGCGGTAGCCGTCATGGCATTGTAGGGTTACTATTTTAGAGTGATTCTGGCTCGGGTTGGCGAGAGAAAAATATATTTAATTCTTGACTGAAACCCTCATCATTCTTGTTTCCATAACACCAGACAACTTCAAACTTTGCGTAAAAAAACTATAAAGGAGAAACACCGATCATTCCTGAACTGTGAATCATATCCTATAAAAGATCATTGGAATAACAGAAATGAGTAATACTAAACCTATTCAATATATAATTAATTTTGATGGCAAATCTGTGGGTACTGTGATGGTAGGAAATATAATCTGGTACCACGAAAAACAAATAAAATCATTTGTGCCGCAGGATGTGGAACCGACGTTTCACTCCATAATTGACTTTATATGTGAGACAATTCCGCAGAATAGGCGTTGGTGGCCACCTGGAACCAGGTTTGTGCAGTACCGAGAACTGAATTTCAATCAATAATCAAAGAGCAATAAGTGTTTTACAAGTAATTTGTAAAACAGGTACGTTAAAATATATAAATATGTTTTTATTAACGTAAACAATTTAAAAACATGTTGTATCTATACTCATTATGTTATTTTTAATATTATACATATATAAATTATGCAATAAGTGAATATTTTTTATCGATATGTTTACTGATAATCTCTGTTATTGAATTATGATATAAATGAAAATTTTTTTATCGATATGTTTACTGATAATCTATGTGTTATTGAATTAAATATTATTTTTATCGATATGCTTACTGATAATCTATGTGTTATTGAATTATGCTATAAATAAATATTATTTTTATAGATATGCTTACTGATAATCTATGTGTATTATTAGATTAATAAAATTTATGATTTAGCTGTTTATCTTATGTTTATTTATAACTTTTTAATTCTACATCTTTCCAGGTTTAACTGTTTATGACTTATAACTGTATAAGTCATGTTAAGAAATATTTCCACTTTTCATAAATAAATATTTCTTAACAATTCATGTTTAAATAAGCATTTCTTTATTCAAAACAATTTTAATATTTTATGAATTAAATTCTCCATTTCGTAAAGTTCTCCTGTTTGTCTTCTAAAAAATAAGAAAAAAATTTCTATATTTTTTTGAAAAAAGTAGTTGGAGTAGACTATATTATTATTATACAGTGGTTGAAAAAGAATATAAATATATTTTAAATTATTATTATACTAATACATTAAAGATTTCTACTAATGAAATCCAAGTTTAGTAAGATAACTATATTAAGTTATTACTCCTTATAATAGTAGAAATATTAATAAAAGAAGTTAAAAAAATGCAATAAATAAATAAAATTTGTATGATAAAAAAACTAATTAAAAATAAGCAGTTAAATTTCTTAACGCAAAATAAATTAGTTACATACGTTAAATAAAAAACTTGTATTTTCATATTCAAATTGAAATTACTATAAAGCCAATAATCATACGTTAATAATAAAAAATATATCAAAATACGCTTAAATTATTATTATTTTAATACATTAAAAATGTCTCTTAATGAAAACTAAAAGAAAAGAAGCACCGACCACCATAGTGACACATGTAATGACGAAACATATGCACTGTTTACTATTATTCTTAAATCATAACTTGAACACAATTGAAATCTGCGATGACGTCCAAATAAGTTGCACACGCCATCTATTAACCCCTAAAAAAACATTAATTTTACCAAATGAAAAAAACCTTTTTTTCATTTGTGACACATATATTTGGAATTTTCCACTCTTGAGAGCTCTGATCTACAATTTTAAAAGTCCACTCTTGAGAGCTCTGATCTACAATCTTACAAGTCTACTCTTGAGAGCTCTGATCTACAATCTTAAAAATTTCTACAAAAAGTATTTACTCGTTGCAGCTATTCATTATGGCTACAAGTATATTAAATGATACTATGCGTTTAATAAAAATATTGAAGTCGTTAAAAGATCATTTAAAACAGCCTTCAGAGCCGGTATCACTCCCCCATCCTTATATTGAAATACAAATTGAAACTGTTCTGGATATTGTGTTTGCCATCGGTGAAGAGATGAATAGTGTGTCACAGCAAGAGAAAGAAACGCTTGGAGGATTATTTCAAGATTGTATGGAATTAATACAAAAATACCTCCTTTGCATTTCATATCTGCCTCATAATCGACTTTGCACTTTTTATCAGCAAAGGCGATCTGCTTTGCAATACATTATGGATATATTTCCCTTGACTAATACCGAAAGCCTAAAAAGGTGCATGCATTTTCTAGATATTATTCTGGAGAAGACTCGTTTTCATCGACCGCCCTGTAAAAAAGAATTGTATTATGATATTCCTGGCGTCATTTCACGCGTACCCGAGACTCACGTTTGGTGGAATAGAAGAAGGTTCAGAAAGAGTATCAGCTCCTAAAAAACGTTGAATGTTTTTGGACAATTTTGGTATGTGATCTTTAAAATGTGTTAATATTTCTCTAATACTCTTTTTTCGACTGTCGCAGATTAAAGTGTGTGTATTATCCTCAAATGCATATTTTTCCGATAATACGCAATTAACAGATGATTTTTTTTTAAAAAATTCAGGATGACAAACCTTACAATAATGCAAAATGTCTTTAGTAGTTCTTTTGTCTAAAAATGTATTCCATTTTTTCTCATTAAACCTGTTGTAATTTTTGATTTTTTCTCGTTCTATATTATTTTTTTTCCCTACATCTACCAACACCGGATGACTTTCTGCATATATAAATTTGAGTCTATTGATGTCGGGAGTATTTCCCCCATACAAATTGCACACTTCACACCAAAGGACAATAAAGGTTAAAAACGTTTCAAGTAAAAATTCGGGTTTAATTATTTTAGCACTATACAAACCTGCGGACATTTCAAAGAGCCCGATGGTATATCCCAAGGGTTCTCGAATATGCGTCATGAATGGTAAGACGAAATCGTTTCCAAGTCGTTTATTTAAGACAATTAAATCGTAAAAATATTCTGGAATATCGCAAGAGTAACTGGCATTGTAAGACACCCATTTGGCGGAATGTTTATCGTACAAGCAATGGTATCGTTTATTGTCGTGGTTGGTAGTTAGAATTAGGCAAAAATTATCATAATGGAAAGCGCATTGGGTGGGTAAATAATATGGATTTTCTTTAATACTATTTAAAAGTTCACTAAAGCTTTTAGACATGACTTGTTTAGGAAGTTTAAAAAATTATTATAAATAACTAATAGTGATCCAAAAGTTATATTGATTAACGTTAAATTTTTTTCTTCATGATTCCCAAATATTTGTTTATAAGACTTAAAAAATATTTACTATAAATAACAAATAATCATCAAAAAAAAGTTTTATTGATTAATGTAATATTTACTATAAATAACTAATAGTCATCAAAAAAAGGTTTATTGATTATCAATACCTAACTTTCACGCAAAACATTTCATGTAAATTTTTGATAATACGCAAAAAGTTGCATCAAATACCAAT